GGGGGGCGGGCGGGCACGCCGCGCCGCGCCGAGCCCTTGGCGGCCTCCGGGGGCGCGGGCAGCGCGGCCCCTCCGCCGCACCACGGCTCCCGCCTGGCCTTATCCTTATCCTTATCCTTAATCATCAGCGTTTGTCTTTTAAATCGCAGATTTTTGTTATTCTCTTTTCGCCTCCGGAGCCAGGTGCGGCAGGGTGAGACCCTGGGGAAGGGCTGCGAGATGCTCCCCCCGTATCCCCCCCGCATCCCCCGACCCTGCGGCCCTTGGGCGGCGCCTGGACCCGCAGCACAGGGACCCCGCCACCTCCCCTGGCGTGGCCATGCCAGCGCAGCAGCTGGGCTTGCGGGGAGGACAGATGGCCGAGCTCGGCGGGAGCGCCCCACATCCCCCCGCAGAGCCCCGCTCCGCAGAGTCCCGCTCGGCACGCGCGGCTGGGGCCAGGGGCGAGTGCCGGCCGGGGGCAGAGTGCCTGGGCAGAGAGGTGGGTGCAGACAGGGCTGGCACGGCCCCTCACCGCTACCCACCCGCTCGCCTTTGTTCTGTTTTCACAGCACACCTTCAGGGAGATCGCAGAGCGCGAGTAATCACCGGGATGCTGCTTTCCCAGCGCTTTAGAAACCTCTGGTTCAAATGCCGCCTGGCAGAAGCACTTGGAAACAGTTTGCTGCTTTTAATTTCCACGATTTCTTAATCCTCAGTGCCGATGTTCAGAAGGAAGCATCTCCTAAACCCACCCCACACAGCCTTAGGTGTCAGAGCATCCACACAGCAACCGAGGGATGAAGCTGCATTTGTGTGTGTGGTCCAAGCCCATCCAAGCTTGCCAGGGCTCATCCCTGTGCGCTGCTGGGACCAGCCTGCAGCACCTCCCACACCTGGAGCTTCTCCTTCATCCTCAGCATCTCCTTCATCAGATGGGGATTTCTCTCCCCGCCCCCCCCCGGGGCTGTTCTGTGCTCCCGGGAGCATTTGGGGAGGCTCGTGTGTGGCTGAAGGACAGGGCTTTGCAGGAAACGCTTGGCTTTTGTGTATTCAGTGCAAAGATGCAGCGGGTTCCTCTAGGGATGCTCTGAACCGGGCTCCTGGGAGCAGGAGCAGACTCAGACGTGGTTTATTCCACCCTGGCCTGGCTGAGTGACCTCCATCAGCCCTGAGTATTCCCACACCTCCCTGCAGGCTGCCAAGGATCCCAGCTGTGGAGCTGGGACACCCCCTCTGTGGGCTGGGCCATCCCTCCCAGCTTTCCTGGCTCCAGGATCTGTGGGTTTTCACCTGGGAGAGGTTTTCACCCCATCACCTTCATCCCGTTTTGTCCCAGGCTCATGAGGAGCCACAACTCCAGGATTCAGCTTTTGGGCTCCTCTGGGATTAACCACAGCAGAAATTCGGAGCAAAGGGGTTGGGATCACCTCACAGGTCCGAAATTATAAGGACCAACGCACCCCACAGCATCTTCTTGGCCATGGCCATGCAAATCTGCCCAGCTCAGCCCTCCTGCAGCCCCCAAAAACACCAGGGAAAGGCAAAATGCTCTGATGGAAAATCATAAATTCCCATCCAATGGTGTTGAGATCCTGCCTGGCTCCCAAGCAGGCGGAGTTTTGAAAAGAATCAATTTTAGATTAAAAAAAGGTCAATAAACCCTGTCATGGAGCTTCCCTGGAAGGAGGGGAGACAACTTCATCCGGGAGAGCCCAGGGCTTTGTGCTTTGCTCTGCTCAGAACCTGCCACTCCACACCCCCCATCCTGTGGTTTATGTGCAAGAAAAAACCCCAATGGCCAAAATTACAGAGAAAATATCAGGAGGAAATCCAAAAAGGGGTCGTGTAATTAACTGGGGGGATGGGAAATGGGAGGGAGCCATCAGGCTGTGCTCTGATCCCAGTTGTGCTCCCACCAAGCCCTGTTGTGCCTCAGTTTCCCCAACACCCCTGGAGGGGTCAGAACCTCATCCCAAATCTCCTGTGGGATGGAGAAGGGAGAGGAATGCCCCCATCAAGGCTGAGACTCCATTTCTCTGCCACCCCACAGGCCATGGTGGGGTGACAGGGATGTCCCCTGTCCCCCATGGCCACCTGGCTCTGGCAGGGGCTGGATCTGACCCAGCTGAGCTCTGCATCCCCAGGGCAGGAGCAGCCAGATGGGATCTCTTCCCCAGGTACACAAAACCCTCTCTTTCCACTAAACCCAAGTGTTTGAAGTCAAAAACCATCTGTATCTTTATGCCAGAGAGAGTTCTCCCTGCCAGGGGTATAAACAGAACATCAGAAATCAGGTTTTTTCGCTAAACTGATATTTTTACACCAAAGCTAGTTTTTTGTCTGGGCAGGACTGGAGCAGCCTGGGGACAGGGACATCCCAGTCCCAGAGCCAGGGATGCTCCAGCTTTGGGTCCAGGGATGGCCCAGCCCTGGGGTAAAGGATACCCCGGCTTGGGGTCAGGAATGCTCCAGCCCCAGGGTGAGGGATGGTCCATCCCCGGGGTCAGAAATGCCCCAGTCCTGGGGTCAGGGATGCTCCAGCCCTGGATCCAGGGATGTCCCAGACCCAGGATCAGGAATGCTCCATCCCTGGGGCTGTAGAGGCCCTGGGGTAAGGGATGCTCCAACCTCAGGGCCATAGAGGCCGTGGTTGTGGGGTCAAGGATGCTCCAGCCCTGGGGTAAGGGATATCCTGGCCCTGGGGTCAAGGATATTCCATCCCTGGGCTCAAGACTGCTCCAGCCCTGACTCCAGGGATGTCCCAGGCCCAGGATCAGGGCTGCCCCAACCCTGGGCTCTGGTCCAGCCCAGCCCCAGGCTGGACAGGGCTTGGAGCACCCAGGGATAGTGGGAAGGGGTGAAATGGGATGAGATTTACATCCCTACAACCAAACCCCTCTGGGATTCCGTGAGTCTGTGACTTCCCCAGCCACCTCCAGGAAAAAACACACATTTATTTAAACAACCTTTCCCCAATTGGAAGATAATTAGCCCCCAGCTGCCAGTCACCCTCAGCTCTGTGGATCCCAGGTAATGGATCGGGCTCAGGCGGCTGTTGGAGAATTGGTGGATGAGTTAAAGTGAGCTCCCACCATTCCTTCCCTGTTGTCATCTTATCTCTGTGCTGGGGAGAAGGGCAGCACATCACAGGCTCCATCATCATCATTTCGCCTTTGTAGCTCGCAAGATTCATAATTAACAAAAAATTTCTATTCACTTGCTCATGTAATTTAATTAGCTTTCCATTAAATGCAGACTAAACAGCATCTATTCCCCACCAGAGCAAATAATTGTTTTCCATTCTCTCAGAAATCATCGTTGGAACTCTCTGAATTCATTAGGGAGCAGCAGTGGGAAAAGGTGGGGAAAGGAAGGGAAAAGCTGCAGGAAGGACAGGCAGGGACTGAGAGGGGGCAGGGCTGGAGCTGCCTTTGCCTGAGCCGGGATGTCCCGGGATGTCCCCACTGACCCCAGAGCGGGGTGCTGGATCCATCCCCCTGCACCCCTGGAGCTCTGGGTGCTGCCTCCATCTCCCCCCGGGATCTCTTGGGGGTGCTGGCATTGCCAAAGGGTCAAGAACCGGGATGGGGACGGGGACAGGGATGGGGACACATCCCAGGGCCACCTCAGGGTCACTCCCAGCCCCCCAGTCCCCACTGGAGGCTGGGGATCAGCCCCCCCCCCGGCAGCCCAGCTCCGTGGAACTGGGGCTGTTTATCCGGATCCCGGGAAAGATTTAATTTCCAGTGGAAATCTCTCAAGCAAATACCTCCCTCGGAGGAATAAACCTGTTTAAGGAAACAATTTTCTCTGCGCTCAGATGAAGCTCGAATGCTTTGCTGCTGCCATGGCCCAGGGCTGGCTTGGATCCGCTGTGGGATGAGAGCCAGGAGAGCCCTGGGCTGCCCTGGAACCAGTGGGAACAGGGGGACTGGCCCCAAATGCCCCTGGATGCTGTTGAGAAGCAGTGGAAATGGGGGAAACTGGTCCCAAATGCCCCTGGATGCAGCTGGGCACAAGCAGGAATGAGGGGGACTGGCCCCAAATCCCTCTGGATTCTCTGCTGCCCAGCACAGGGCATTGTCCTGTCCCCAAGGGGTGGTGGCAGTGGTGGCCATGCTGGCCTTAGCACCTCTGGGGTGATCGGTGCCAGCCCTCCAAGGTGGGTTCCAGCCCTCCAAGGTGGGTTCCAGCTCTCTGTGGTGGGTTCCAGCTCTCCAAGGTGGGTTCCAGCTCTCCAAGGTGGGTTCCAGCCCTCCAAGGTGGGTTCCAGCTTCTCCCAAACCAACTCCCCTCCCTCCCAGGGGCTGAGACATGGACACATGGTCCAAGGGGTGGGCATTGTCCAACCCTGACTGCAATGATCTATGAAACCTTGAGCTGCCCCACCTGTGTGTCCCTCCTCACTGCCCACCAGGAACAAAGGGTTATTTCCTTATTATAAATTATTATTTAATTCCTTGGCACTGGGGAATGGTCACAGCGCTGGGATAGGCACAGGGACCTGGGCTGGATGCTCACTGCTGGGGGCAGTGTGCCAGGGGCAGCTGGGCATGGGCAGGGAGTGCCCACGGAGCTGTCCAGTCCTGGCTCTGTCCATCCAGGGTCAGGCTCTGTCCATCCAGGCCGGCTCTGTCCATCCAGATCAGGCTCTGTCCATCCAGGCCAGGCTCTGTCCATCCAGGTCAGGCCCTGTCCATCCAGGTCTATCTCTCCACCCCTCTGCTCCCTGGTTCCAGGGATTTATTTCCCCTTAATCCGGATCATTTCCCGATCTGGGTCACGGCTCTGTGTCCCTTGTGCCCAGGCCATGGGGGGTGTCCAGGCACAGGGGGTGACAGCAGGGTGACACCCAGGTACCCCAGGGTGGGGTGTGGATCCATCCAGCCCTCACTGCCTGGCACCAGGAGCCCCAGGACTGCCCAGAACTCAGGGCAGGGGAGCAATGATGCCCCTTCCCTCAGTTCCCTGCTGGTTCCTGGAATGGGAATTAGGAACAAAACCCTTTTTTGGTTCTTTAAAGAAGCAGGACTCAGTAAGGCTCAGGATTGCTGTCACAGATCAGCTCCCAGGGTCTCTCTCCTCTGGCACATAGGTGTAGATCCAAATAAACCCATAAATCCTTGGGATTATAACAGGCTCTAATTAAACCTTAAATCTGTGGGGCAGCCCCTCCCCAGCCAGGGGAAGAGGAAGGGGCTCAGCCTTGGGCACGAGGAGTGCCCAGGGTCCCTCCTGGCAGTAAAAAACCCCCTAAAATAATAAAATAAAGAAATAATAAAGAAATAATAAAATAAATAAAATAATAATAATAAATAAAATAAATAAAAGTAAATAAAGTAATAAAACTAAATAAAATCTTTAAAAAGTAAGTAAAATAACCCTCCTGTGCCTCTAGCCCTGCCTGCCCCTCTCCAGGGAGGGCTTTGTCTGCCTGGAGCTGCTCATCCATGGGGATCTGGAGATGGATCTGCCCGGGCCTGTCCAGCACCTCCCTGAGGGCTGCTGCCACTCATCCACTGAGGGCAGGAACCATGGGACACCCCAGGGGACCAGGGACAACTCCAGGGACAGCCCCAGGGCTGCAGCAGCCATTCCCACGGGATCTTGCCTGCCATTGCCCCTGGGGTCAGGGGAAGGATGGGAGGGGGATGTGGGCACCTGCCAGGACCTGGAGAACCCTCCCTGGATTTCAGAGAGGGACTGGGGACAAGGATGGAGGGACAGGACACAGGGAATGGCTGCCACTGCCAGAGGGCAGAGCTGGATGGGATCTTGGGAATTGGGAATTGTTCCCTGGCAGGCTGGGGAGGGGCTGGGCTGGAATTGCCAGAGCAGCTGTGGCTGCCCCTGGATCCCTGGCAGTGCCCAAGGCCAGGCTGGACATTGGGGCTGGGAGCACCTGGGACACTGGGAGGTGTCCCTGCCATGGCAGGGGTGGCACTGGGTGGGATTTAAGGTCCCTTCCAACCCCAACCATTCCATGAGTTCAGTCATCCCACCAATGATTCCATCATTCCACCTCAATGATTTCCCTGGTTATCTACAGGTGAGGACCTGGATTTAAAACTGGAGAACAGAAAAACAACCAAAGTGTCTCAGGTTGGAAATGGCAGTGTGTTCTGTTCCTGTCTGATGAAGGAGGGCTGAGCCACCGTGGGATGGGGCTGTGCCACCACCCTGACACACAGGGGGTCAGCTTTTACTGTCAGTGCTTTGGGGTTTTTTTGTTTTATTATTGCATTTGTATTTTCAGTTTTCCTAGTAAAGAACTGTTATTCCTGCTCCCACATCTTTACCTGAGAGCCCTTAAATGTCAAAATTACAGTAATTCAGAGGGAGGGGGTTTACATTTTCCATTTCAGGGGAGGCTCCTGCCTTCCTCAGCAGACACCTGTCTGTTCAAACCAAGACACAAAGCAATGAACCCCAGGCACTGAGCTGTGTAAAAAAGCCATTTATTGCAGTTTTAACTGTATAAAAAAAAAAAAAAACAAAACTCCTAAGGAAACAGGACATGGAATATACAGGCCACGTGTGGAACTGAACCAAAAGTTCTCAATTTCAAGGGATCTGGAGAAGGGTTTCGTTGTCAGTGGCACAGCCAAAACAAAATTCCTTTCAATTCCAAGTTTTCCTGCCTCCCCAAAGAAAGGGGAGGTGGAAAAAGCTGCCCAGTGAGATGTGGAGAGGGGACAGCCTGCACTGGGGGGCTGTCACACTGAGCTGCTGTCAGCTGCTCCACTGGGAGGGGAATCCATCCAGCTCCCGCAGACCCAGCACCCTGAGGCACAGATCCCAGCAGCTCCTCGTGGGCCTCACTGGATCTCCCCCATGTAGAGCCTTTTGTCACTGGATGCAGAGAGAACTGAGGGGCAAGGAAAGAAAGGAATAAAGAAATTAAAACAGAATAGAAAAACTGAAATAGAATGCAAAAATTAAAACAGAAAATAAAAATTAAAACAGAATAAAAAATTAAAATAGAATATAAAAACTGCAATAGAATAAAAAATTTGAAATATAAAAACTGAAATAGAATACAAAAATTAAACTAGAATATGAAAACTGCAATGGAATTCAAAAATTAAAATATAAAAACTGAAATAGAATACCGAAATTAAAATATGGAAAACAAAATAGAATACAAAAACCAAAATAGAATATAAAACTCGCAACAGAATACAAAAATTAAAATATAATATAAAAACTGCAATAGAATACAAAAATGCCCCCAGTGGTTTGAGACCCTCCTAAGAACACAGCCCAAACTCCTCATTTTTTTAAGCCAGGTTTCAGTTGCTTCCCAAGCCAGCCATGAACAGAGCTGTGCCACCAAGCCCAGGCTGTGCTGGGGGCTGCCACCCCCTGTCCCCGAGCTGCTGGGCACGGCTGAGCTGGGAGGGGAAGGGGAGGTGGATGAACAGCCCTGCAAGGCTCCCGAGGTGGGGTTTCCATCCTGGGGAGGGCTGAGCTCCAGCCCGGGCTCTGCCAGCGCCCAGTGCCACTAGAGGGCACAGCTGGCCAGGGAAGTGTCCCCAGGACAGCATTCCCTGGGAACAGGGAGAAGCCAATGGTTCCCAGCTCCCACCAGCCCTGAGCCACAGCCACGGGACCCCTGAGCTTGGGGAACATCCCCGAGACCATCAAACCCAAGTGCCAGCCTGGCAGCACCCCAGGGTCACCCTTGTCCACCAGTGCCACATCCCCAGGTCCTCTGAACAACTCCAGGGAAAGGGACTCCACCAGCAGGGCTGGCCAGCTGGAAACGGGTCAGAAGGGCCAGATTCCAATGTCTTGGTGGAATTATAAAACCATCAAGGCTGGAAAAGCCCTCTGAGATCATCGAGTCCAACCTTTAACCCAGCCCTGCCCATGTTGCCTAGTGCCACATCCACAGGGCTGTTAAATCCCTTCAGGGATAGGGATCCACCCCTGCCCTGGGCAGCTGTGCCAGGGCTGGACAGCCCTTTCCATGGAGAATTCTTCCCAAAAATCCACCCTGCGCCTGCCCTGGCCCAGCCTGACGCCGTTACCTCTCCTCCTGTCCCTGTTCCCTGGAGCACAGCCCGACCCCCCCGGCTGTCCCCTCCTGTCAGGAGTTGTGCAGAGCCACAAGGTCCCCCCTGAGCCTCCTCTTCTCCAGGCTGAGCTCCTTCCCAGCTCCCTCAGCCTCTCCTGGGGCTCCAGACCCTTCTCCTCTTCAGGGAATTCACAAGAATGACCCAAAAGTCACCAACAGTGGTTTCATCCCTGTCTAGGAGAGCTCTGGGGGTTTCTGCACCAATTCCCAGCCCAGTGTTTGTCACCCTGCACAGCCTGGCTGCCCGTGCAGGTGAGAATCCTGCAGTGATTTATGGATTAACAACCCCAGGAGCTCCCAGCCAGCAGCTACATGACTCAATGGGTTTTTAGGAAGAGTTTTTAAATTGTTATTTGAAGCCCAGTGATTGATGACCCAAGAGGAGCTGAGCACAGGACCCCACAGTCAGAGAGGAGCTGGCTTTGCTCCTCCAGCACAGCCCCAGCCTACCCACAGCTCCCTGTCCCTTGCCTTGCCTTTGGGGTTGACTGCTGGTGCGTTTTGGCTGCTGACCAGGCCAAGGTGAGCGTTTCCATGGAAACACAGCACCCTGCAGTCCTGCCCAGCCTATGCTGGAGCAGGAGATGGGAATGGAACCTGGTCCCAGCTTTAAATGGCTCTGAAAAGCCACCACAAGCTTTGCATCAGCCAGCTCTGAGTGTGGTGCCACCTCCAGAACAGGGCCCAAATCCCCTGCACCAAGAGCTTCCTTTGGGTGGGGTTTTGAGAAGGAATTGTTCCCTGGCAGGGGGGGGATGGGATGGGATTTAAGGCCCCTTCCAAACCATTCTGGGATTGTGATTTTGTGATTCTCTGATTGGCTCCCTACAGCTTTTGGGGCAGTTAGGACCCCCCAGGCTCCCAGGTGATCCATGTCCTCATGGAATCACCACACATGGTTACACCCCTGGCATCCCAGCTATTCCAAACCCATTCCTTATGGCCCCTGGGCAGTGGCAGCCACCCCCAGCCCACAGCAAGAGCCACCCTGCTGCCCTCTGGGTGTCCCCAGCCCAGTCCCAGAGTCCCTGTGCTCAGCCCAGGTTGCCCCCACCCAACTGCAGATGAGCAAACAAGGCTCTGCCACCCCTAAATCTGATAATTGGACTCTGAGCCACTCTGGCAATCTTGGGGCCTCTTCCCAGAGGATCAGCAGCTCAGTGAGCCCTGGAGCTGCTGCCCTGGGAGGTGGGGAGCACTTACTGATGGGTTCCTCAGGGTGGAAGGCCAGCTCATTGACAGAGCCAGCATGGCCAGGCAGCTTGTACAGGATCCTCCTGGAGGTGGTGTCCCACACGTACACAAACCTGCAACAGAGTCCTGGTGAGGACAGGCATGGGCCAGCAAAACACCTGTGCAAAACCCCAGGTGGTTCTGCAGCTGGCTGGAATGATCTTTGTGAGGATAAACAGGAACTTCCCAGGAGAAAAATGCTGCTGACAGGCCCAGGAGAGCAGAGGCTGAGCAGGGAGGAGTCAAGAGTGGCAAAAACATCACTGCCAACAGTGCACCTCAACCCTCAGGGCACAGAGATGGATTTGAAAGCTGTGAGACCAAAAAAAATCCTTGATAGTGCAGGGAAAGGGAGCAAATCAGCACTGGGAATGGGGAGGAGGGGTCTCACCCTCCCAAACACTCTGTGCACATCCAGGCATCCCCTTGGGCTGGCAGTGAGGAGCCCACAGCCCCCCAGCCCCTGCTGCACTGCAGCCCCTCCCAGCCAGCAGCTCTAAAGATGGATTTCTTCCTGTTGTGCCACGTTAGCCACTTGCCAGCATGTATTAGGGAGTGATGGGATCATGCTGAGCCCTTTGATCACCCTCTGCCAGGCCTCACCCACCCTGCCTGAGCCCCTACCTGCGTTGAGAAACCCCCAGGATCCTCCCCTGGGGGCACCAGGCACAGCCCAGCTCTCACACTTCTCTTAAAAACTGTCTCAGAGTGAGGGAAACCAAGCCCAAAATCCCTGAGTCTGCTGTGGGAAGCTCTGCTGGGAGCCCCAGGAGCTGCCAGAGCTCCAGCAGCACCTGCAGAATGAACCAAGTGACCCAAACTCCAAGCACAGCTGCCCAGAGCAGGGCTCAGCCTGGCCACAGGGATCCAGGCAGGAATTGCTGCTCTCCCCCAGGGCAGGAGCTGCTTTCCCAAGACAGGAGCTGCTCTCTCCCAGGCAGGAATCCTCCCTCCCCACTCAGAGCCCAGCAGGGCTGGGGACAGTCACAGCCCCAGCTCATGCTGGGACAGCTGCCCCATGAAATCTGGACAGGGAGAGCTCAAGTTCTGTCTCTGCTATCAGAAGCTCATTAATCTGGTGATTACTGCTGCTCCATGCCCTGGCCCCTGGCCTGCAGGAATTCCTGTCTCCCTGGCACTGGATTTGGGCCTGGATTTGCTCCAGGAGACATCGGCGTCCTTCACAGGGACCTTCCTCCCTCTGCCCTTTCCACTCCTCAGCTCACTTCACAGAATCTTTCATTTACAAGTCTGAGATGTGCCAATTGATTTTTTTCTCCTTAATTAAAGGAGGAGTCATTAATGATCCCTGGAATCCCACCATGCAGGAATTTAACTGGGATTCATGCTCCTCATCCTCCAACCCCACACACAGACCCTGCTCTCAAAGACCCCCCCAAGCTTCTGCCAGGACACCAAGAGGTCCAAGCCAGTGGCAAAGATGTCCCTGTCACCTGCTGGGGGATCCTGTGGTGGGACAGGGCAGAGCCTCAGCCAGCTTTTGACAATAATAACCAGATTTTACAAGTCAGATGCTCCTCCACAGACCCCAAAGCAGCAGAAACACATCCCTGGTGAAACCAGGAAAACTCCCCGAGGGCTGTTTGGGATTTCCCACCTCTACACACAACCCTGAGCCTGCAGATTCTGATCCAGGAACGCTGCAAATCCACCAGGGGTTGCTGGGGACAGAGGAATGCAGGGGCAACTCACCTGTCAGCAGAGCCCCCTGCAATTTTGCTGCCATCTGGGGACCAGGAGCACCTCAGAAGGTTCTAAAACAAAAGAACATGCACAGACCTATTTAGTTTCCCCCTTCTCCTTGAACTCAAATCACCACGAGACTTTAACCAGCACCACTTTAATGATCTCCCTTGGAAGAGGAGATGGTAATTACAGATTTTATTTTATTGCTGGAAACAGCCTTGTTATTTTACACAAAGTAGATGGTAAGTGTAGAAAATACTTAATTTACAACTAATTACAAATGAACTGAGCAAAGAAATCTTGTTACTGAGGCTTTAATTGGAACCCACTTTGTGGATTCATATTTCTTTGAGTTCTTATTAAAGCCTTTCTGGCCTAAGCTTGAATTGAAAAAAAACAATTTAGAGAAAAGTTAATAGCAGAGGGAATTGAACAAGGAGTGGAGCACACTCACCTTTTCAAAATTATGGACATTTCCCTGGAAAATCTTCACACATCTCTCCTTGGGGGCGAAGGGCCTGACGTCCCAGATCCGAACTGCAACAGAAGCAGAGCCAGCAGCTGAGGGGGACAGGGACAGGCAGCCCTGGCAAAGCCCCCGTGCCCAGGACACCACTGCCAGAGGGCAGGGCTGGATGGGATATTGGGAATTGGGAATTGTTCCCTGGCAGGCTGGGGAGGGGCTGGGCTGGAATTGCCAGAGCAGCTGTGGCTGCCCCTGGATCCCTGGCAGTGCCCAAGGCCAGGCTGGACATTGGGGCTGGGAGCACCTGGGACAGTGGGAGGTGTCCCTGCCATGGCAGGGGTGCAGTGAGATGATGCTTCATCCTTTCCATCCAAACCACTCCATGATTCTAGGAAAACATGAGGCTGGAAGTTTATGGGTTTCTAAAAGACAGAATTTGCCTTTTAGAACATTTCTAAGTGAATACATTTAACCTCCAAGGAGTTCAATGCCAGCAGCCCCAGGCCTGCAGAATTCCTCCTGAACTGGCCCCAAAATCCTCCAACTCCCCCTGGCACAGAGCAGGAGCTCCCCAATTCCCACAGAACACAGAAGGCTGTTCTTCCCAAAGAGGGGCAGTGGGAGCAGCTCTGGTGGCAGTGCCACATTGAGCTCTGGCTGTGACAGGCTGAGAAGGGCTCTGGTGGCAGTGCCACATTGAGCATTGGCTGTGACGGGCTGGAGACAGCTCTGGCAGGCTGAGGGCAGTTTTGGTGGCAGTGCCACACCAAGCTCTGGCTGTGACAGGCTGGGGACAGCTCTGGCAGACTGATGACAGCTCTGGTGGCAGCGCCACACTGAGCACTGGCTGTGACAGGCTGGGGACAGGCTGGAGCAGGGGCTGATGACAGCTCTGGTGGCAGTGCCACACTGAGCACTGGCTGTGACAGGTTGGGGACAGCTCTGGCAGGCTGAAGGCAGTTTTGGTGCCAGTGTCACACCAGCTCTGGCTGTGACAGGCTGGGGACAGGCTGAGGCCATGGGGACAGCTGAGCCCTGCAGCCCCCAGGGCAATCAGCTGAATGAAACGCTGAGCTCACTGTTAAATAAGAACTTTCCACACCATCAGGTGCCAGGGGAGCTGAAACTGGGGCAGAGGGCACAGAGGGGACGTGTCACCACGTTCTCCTCAGCTTACCTCACACATGGCTCTGTCCCAGGCTGCCAGCACAGCCAGCACTCCATGCTGGCTCTGGCAGGTGACAGCAGTGCTGGGACACCCGAATGCCAGTCTGTCACTGCCAGGCTGTCACTGCTCCCTGCCACTTTACTGGCCCTGTACCACCAGCAGGGACAGACACAGCAGGCCCAGGGGGGTTGGGATGTAAAATTCAGCAGGCAGCACCCACAGCTGTCCTTGACCAACACAAGGTGTGACAGGAGGGAAAGGGACACAGGGTCCTACCTTGATGTCATTGTCGATGCCTCCAGAGATGATCTGGTCACTGGTGTCATTGAAGGTGACAGCCAGGACCTGGTAGGTGTTCTGGAATGTCTGGACAGCAGCTTTTTTCCTGATATCCCACAGCTGGAAAGAAACGTGGCACTTGTAAGAGGTGGGCACAGACATTTAACAATAAAAACACTGCAGAGATATTGGCAGAGACCCAGCCTCTTCTCCTGAAATCACTTTGTAGGTCTCATAAAAAACATCAGATCTGGAGATCTTTATAAAAAACATTGAATCTGCTGTGTTTAGAGCACAGGAATGAATGGAGGGAAGAAGAGGCCAGCACAGATTTCAGGAGAGGGAAAAAGGAATCAGTACAGGAGATTACAGGAGAAAGAAAAAGGGGCCAGCCCAGATTTCAGGAATAGTTTTCACATGCTTTGCTAATCCAGAAAGAAACTCTGATTTCTGACCAGAAAGATGGAGCTGATCTCTGGGGTTCCAGCAAAGTGCAGGATGGACCATCCCCACTGCTGGGTCCAGCTGGGACAATTCCCAGCAGTGGCAAAGCATCAGGTGAGCCCCAGGGCAAAGGAGCTTCAGGGATCTTGGTTAAGGTGAATTTATTAAGAAAAAAATCTTTGCTTCAGCAAGCCTAAGCATTAAAAACTGCATTTCTGCAGAACTTGGAAGCCGTGTGACAGGGATACAGGGCTGTCACAGCTTGCACCAGTGGAAGACAGAGACTGCCACAGACACAGGAAAGTTTGATTTGCAGCCTTGGAAGGGGCTTGGATTGATGTGAAAACAAAAGATGCAGAAATTAAAAAGAAAAATAATAAACTTATGCTTCTGTAGTTATAAATAAGAATATGCCTTAAGTGTCAAACTGTACTGATAAGATGGTGAAGGGTTTATAATGTAAGGCTGTAATTGTATAGAATAAGTTTAATGTTATAACAGAAGCATATGTGTGCACATGTCATAACAGCCTATTGGTTAAAAGCATCCACACTGCAGTAAAGCTCCAGACCCTTCCCAGCCCACTCCACGGAGCCGCTCCAGCCCCATCGGACCCGAGGGGCCCAGACCCGCACGCAGCCCAGGAGGTGCCTCAGCAGTGCCCAGCTCCAACACCCTCATGGCCATTCCCTCCTACTGGAGCCACCCCCGGCCCTCTCCCCTCACCCCTCCATCCCACCCGGCTCTCCTCCCACCCTGCCCTCACGTTCCCCCGTTACCGCCTGCAGCAGAGCTCCGGCCGCAGGCTGCCCCCCTGCGCCGCCCGTGCCCGGCGCCCCCGGCAGGTCATGGCGGGGCCGCTTGGCGGGCACGGGGACGAGCGGGAGGTCGGGGCCGGGCGCGGGAGCGGCGCCAGGGGCGGCGGGGGCCGAATCCCAGGCTGCAGGAAACAAGGTTGGTGTCTGTGAGATTTTTTTCATTGTTGGTGTGGCCAAGGCAAGCAGCCAGCTCAGAATTAAAGGCTTTCAGAAAAAAAATCAGGAAATGAATTTTTCCTAAATTAGGAAGAAATTTGGAAATCATTTAGAATATGATGGACTTTTGCATGATTACCATAAAAGACTCAAAGGAGTTTTTGGTAACTTCAGGATATTTGGGATGGGATTTTGGTATATTCTGGATATTTTGAGGTTTGGTACCTTCAGAATCTTTTAGTGGAGGTTTTGATAACTAAAATAAGAATATTTTAGAGAATCATTTGAAGGTGATAGCAGAACTGTGAAAATTCTGCAGTTTGCCCAATTTCCTCCTTTTAATGGTCAGTGGAAATGAGTGGAGAAACAAGACTAAAACAATAAAAGAAATGAAACAAAATAAATGAATGAAATCCAAACAAGTGGAAAATCAGCTGTAAGCTGTGTGTGACTGTGGGACAGCTGCATCCCCCAGGAGCCCCTTCCCTGCTCCCTGCAGGATTTTGGGCAGGATTTTGGGCAGGATTTTGGGCAGGATTTTGGGCAGGATTTTGGGCAGGATTTTGGGCAGGATTGTGGCTGCTGGGGAGGCACAAGGTACCTTGGAGTGGGGCTGGAGCAGCCACCTGCTCCCAGATTGCTCCTCCTGCATGTGAAAAACACCAATCACTTGTTTTTATATTTGTAAAAGTTTAATAATAATGAAATGATTATAAAAATAGTAATATATTTAGAGTAATAAAATTAGGACAATTAGGATTTGGACAATAGGAGACAATCAAAACAAAGAGTTATGGATTGTCCAGGTACCTCTTTGTGGGCAAAATAAGCCTGAAAAAGGACACACAGGGGATTGAGGGGGAAATGGGGCAGGAAAAGGGGGATTTTGAGTGAAACAGGGGCATTTTGGGTGGCAAAGGTTAACAGAGGATTAACCCTTAAGAGCAATAGCCTGTTGCATGTTCATACACCTCATCCATGATGCAGAAATTCCATTCAAACACAGGATTCTGTCTGGTCAGTGTCAGCTTCTTCCTCCTCTTCAGGGCTGAGGAGGCAGGAAGAAGTTCATTTCTTCAGATAAGGGAGCAGTAAATTCTTTTTCTCTGAGAGATTCAGGTGTCCTGGGGCTGCTGGCTGGTGCGAGTACCTCATTCCTCTCTTTAAAAAAAGTATCTTGCATGGCATGGTTTCTATTTGAGCATTTTGTTATAACCTCCAACTGTGTTTAACACACTACTTCAGAAATAATAGAGCATAACTTTCTAACATAACACATACAATATTCATTTGAATATCTGTAAAAAGCCCTTTATAAAACACACGTTTTCCACACGTTTTCCACACGTTTTCCACACGTTTTCCACACGTTTTCCACACGTTTTCCACACGTTTTCCACACGTTTTCCACACGTTTTCCACACGTTTTCCACACGTTTTCCACACGTTTTCCACACGTTTTCCACACGTTTTCCACACGTTTTCCACACGTTTTCCACACGTTTTCCACACGTTTTCCACACGTTTTCCACACGTTTTCCACACGTTTTCCACACGTTTTCCACACGTTTTCCACACGTTTTCCACACGTTTTCCACACGTTTTCCACACGTTTTCCACACGTTTTCCACACGTTTTCCACACGTTTTCCACACGTTTTCCACACGTTTTCCACACGTTTTCCACACGTTTTCCACACGTTTTCCACACGTTTTCCACACGTTTTCCACACGTTTTCCACACGTTTTCCACACGTTTTCCACACGTTTTCCACACGTTTTCCACACGTTTTCCACACGTTTTCCACACGTTTTCCACACGTTTTCCACACGTTTTCCACACGTTTTCCACACGTTTTCCACACGTTTTCCACACGTTTTCCACACGTTTTCCACACGTTTTCCACACGTTTTCCACACGTTTTCCACACGTTTTCCACACGTTTTCCACACGTTTTCCACACGTTTTCCACACGTTTTCCACACGTTTTCCACACGTTTTCCACACGTTTTCCACACGTTTTCCACACGTTTTCCACACGTTTTCCACACGTTTTCCACACGTTTTCCACACGTTTTCCACACGTTTTCCACACGTTTTCCACACGTTTTCCACACGTTTTCCACACGTTTTCCACACGTTTTCCACACGTTTTCCACACGTTTTCCACACGTTTTCCACACGTTTTCCACACGTTTTCCACACGTTTTCCACACGTTTTCCACACGTTTTCCACACGTTTTCCACACGTTTTCCACACGTTTTCCACACGTTTTCCACACGTTTTCCACACGTTTTCCACACGTTTTCCACACGTTTTCCACACGTTTTCCACACGTTTTCCACACGTTTTCCACACGTTTTCCACACGTTTTCCACACGTTTTCCACACGTTTTCCACACGTTTTCCACACGTTTTCCACACGTTTTCCACACGTTTTCCACACGTTTTCCACACGTTTTCCACACGTTTTCCACACGTTTTCCACACGTTTTCCACACGTTTTCCACACGTTTTCCACACGTTTTCCACACGTTTTCCACACGTTTTCCACACGTTTTCCACACGTTTTCCACACGTTTTCCACACGTTTTCCACACGTTTTCCACACGTAATTGGGAATTGTTCCCTGGCAGGCTGGGGAGGGGCTGGGCTGGAATTGCCAGAGCAGCTGTGGCTGCCCCTGGATCCCTGGCAGTGCCCAAGGCCAGGCTGGAGCACCTGGGACAGTGGGAGGTGTCCCTGGGGTGGCACTGGGTGGGTTTCCAGGTCCCTCCAACCCAACCCCTTCTCTGATTCTCTGCCAATCTCCAGGTCAGTGAGCTGGGCAGGTTTGTTGTGCAGATTCTCCCCTCTCTGAGAAGGGATTTCCTCCAGCTCTCCTCTGGGTTTTCTCCCCAGGTTGCTGCAGTGACAGACTATGGGGCCTTTATCAAAATCCCAGGCTGCAGGAAACAAGGTTGGTGTCTGTGAGATTTTTTTCATTGTTGGTGTGGCCAAGGCAAGCAGCCAGCTCAGAATTAAAGGCTTTCAGAAAAAAAATCAGGAAATGAATTTTTCCTAAATTAGGAAGAAATTTGGAAATCATTTAGAATATGATGGGCTTTTGCATGATTACCATAAAAGACTCAAAGGAGTTTTTGGTAACTTCAGGATATTTGGGATGGGATTTTGGTATATTCTGGATATTTTGAGGTTTGGTACCTTCAGAATCTTTTAGTGGAGGTTTTGATAACTAAAATAAGAATATTTTAGAGAATCATTTGAAGGTGATAGCAGAACTGTGAAAATTCTGCAGTTTGCCCAATTTCCTCCTTTTAATGGTCAGTGGAAATGAGTGGAGAAACAAGACTAAAACAATAAAAGAAATGAAACAAAATAAATGAATGAAATCCAAACAAGTGGAAAATCAGCTGTAAGCTGTGTGTGACTGTGGGACAGCTGCATCCCCCAGGAGCCCCTTCCCTGCTCCCTGCAGGATTTTGGGCAGGATTTTGGGCAGGATTTTGGGCAGGATTTTGGGCAGGATTTTGGGCAGGATTTTGGGCAGGATTTTGGGCAGGATTTTGGGCAGGATTGTGGCTGCTGGGGAGGCACAAGGTACCTTGGAGTGGGGCTGGAGCAGCCACCTGCTCCCAGATTGCTCCTCCTGCATGTGAAAAACACCAATCACTTGTTTTTATATTTGTAAAAGTTTAATAATAATGAAATGATTATAAAAATAGTAATATAATTAGAGTAATAAAATTAGGACAATTAGGATTTGGACAATAGGAGACAATCAAAACAAAGAGTTATGGATTGTCCAGGTACCTCTTTGTGGGCAAAATAAGCCTGAAAAAGGACACACAGGGGATTGAGGGGGAAATGGGGCAGGAAAAGGGGGATTTTGAGTGAAAAAGGGGGATTTTGGGTGGCAGAGGTTAACAGAGGATTAACCCTTAAGAGCAATAGCCTGTTGCATGTTCATACACCTCATCCATGATGCAGAAATTCCATTCAAACACAGGATTCTGTCTGGTCAGTGTCAGCTTCTTCCTCCTCTTCAGGGCTGAGGAGGCAGGAAGAAGTTCATTTCTTCAGATAAGGGAGCAGTAAATTCTTTTTCTCTGAGAGATTCAGGTGTCCTGGGGCTGCTGGCTGGTGCGAGTACCTCATTCCTCTCTTCAAAAAAAGTATCTTGCATGGCATGGTTTCTATTTGAGCATTTTGTTATAACCTCCAACTGTGTTTAACACACTACTTCAGAAATAATAGAGCATAACTTTCTAACATAACACATACAATATTCATTTGAATATCTGTAAAAAGCCCTTTATAAAACACACGTTTTCCACACGTTTTCCACACGTTTTCCACACGTTTTCCACACGTTTTCCACACGTTTTTCACACGCAGAACCCTGCTCTCCACTGGCAGTACCCAAATTCCAGTCCAGCCTGGGGTGGTGGCACCTGTCTCAGCAGTTCAAAAACTGGAGCACCCTATAAAATCCTACTATTAATAATATGTTGAGTATAATAATGTTATTAACATAATAATATTGTGACTAAATAGTAAATATATTGTGAATAATATATTTGTGAATAAATATATTTTTCGCAAATATATTTGTTATTATTTAGTATTCATAAGTATATTTATTTACTTTATAAATACAGTTATTTTTTATAAATGTGTTTATTGCTTGCAGAACCCTGCTCTCCACTGTCAGTACCCAAATTCCCATCCAGTTTGGGGTGGTGTCACCTGTCTCAGCAGTTCAAAAATTGGAGCACCCTCCAAAATACATTATAGATAATTCACAACTATATTTGTTGTTATTTATTATTCATAAATATTATTATTTATAAATGTACTTATTTATAAATATATTTATTACTTGTATTTATTGTTAATATTTACAGTTGTACTGGTGGTACCTGCATTATAAACAATAATCAAAAAATAGAAATTCAAAATGAGTTAAAGAAATAAAGTTTTAAAGATAAATTAAATTATAATA